TAGCTGGTTGTTGGCTTTGTGTAGCTGTTCGGGTGCAGAATAGAGAAGAAAGAATGATTGGAGGGGCTCTTTGTTGCAGGAAAACAGGCATAAGAGAAGAGGAGGGAAGAGATTGATGGTGAAGGGAATTGAGAGGAGTGGTTGAGGGACAGATGGTGGTGAGTATAACTGGTTGTTGGCTTTGTGTAGCTGTTCAGGTGCATAATAGAGAAGAAAGAATTATTGGAGGAGCTGTATGTTGCAGGAAAACCAGACATAAGAGGAAAGGAGGGAAAAGATTGATGGTGAAGGGAATTGAGAGGAATGGTTGGCGGCAAGGAGGCAAGAATTAAAGAAGAAGAGAAGGGAACATACCTTGTAAGGGATAAAATTTAGCCTCACGTCAGATCAAAAACCTTTCAACCATTGGATTTTCATCAAAAAATTAAATTAATTATTAAAATCTGAAAATTGCAATGTATTGCACTTAATGTGCCCAATGGTGAATGTGCCTAGTAATACTGAATCATATGCTACATCGAAGTGAAGAAAAATAATTTCGTTAGGACTGATCTAGTGATCTGATATACCTGTCCAATTTTTATTATAGGTGTTTTTCCTTCAAGCATAATCTTATTTTCTGAAGTACTCATGTAATCATGTTTACACATTACAATGTTCACTGCTAGATTAATATTTTTGGGGTAGTCTGTGAATTTTTAGTCTCTGTTGCAGGCAGCACTTCAGGTAATATCATCACAACTTGGAGCCGAGCTATGTGAGTGGACGACCCCTACGCCTACCCTTTGGGGGGAGCATGTACATAGCCGTAGGTCAGGTAATTATGTTGTGTTATTATGCAATGGAAAATAACCAAATCTAGTCAATATGCTTAACCTTAGCAATAATTTTCATGAAATAACTTTTGAACTTATTGATGAACAAACTTGTTCTCAAGTTCATTACTAAATATTGTACCTTATATCCTGCAGTCATTTTTTACTGGAACTTGAAGAGTCATGAGTCATCCTTAGATTTCTTTTGACAAGTTATTATTATTATTATTATTATTTTGTCTAACGTTATGCTCTTACTCTTTTAGGGAGGTATTACATGTCAAAATTGGATGAATTTGAGATTTTTGCCGAGAAAGTAGGAAAATATTGTTTACTTCATCCATCCTGTAATGGAGGATCAAGAAAGCCTGTTATTTTCTTAATTGATGATCTACCTGTGACAAATGGAAGAATTGCCTTCGCAAGACTCAACAAGTGCTTAACAACTCTAGTTCGTTCAACTTGGGTTCCAACAGTTATATTGATTACTGAATATCATAAAACTGAATCTGTTGAGAGTTCGTCAAATTTTTTGGAAGAACTTCAATCATCTCTTGAGAAAGCTGGGGCCCATAAGGTGACACCTCTTACATAGCAAATGCAGGCAAACTCAACTATCACACACTGGCATTGGTGTGAAATAGTGTCTAGTTTTATATGTTCATAGCAAATAAACTACATGAATAATTTCTTTCAGGTAGTTTTTAATCCGCTTACCGTAAATTCTATAAAGAAAACTCTTTTTAGAATATGCGAGGAAGAGAAGTGTGATGTGACTGGAAACTGGATAGATCATATAGCACGAACTAGTGGAGGTGACATCAGACATGCAATAACGTCTTTGCAATACTTCTGTTTAAGACCTACAGATGGTTTTTCCTTAGCAACATCGACTCTGCCAGCAATACAATCTAAGACAAGCGTATACAAGCATAATTCAGTATCATCTCCAAGTCTTGCAGGCACGGAGGACCTAGATGCCCCACCATTCTTGCCTTTTGGATTTGGACGAGATGAAACAATAAACCTGTTTCATGCCCTGGGGAAGTTTCTGCACAACAAGAGAGAAACTGATGATTCATGTGCACTTGGTATGTGAATTTACTATTTATTATTAATAAGTAAAAGTGCCATCTGATTAAAACTATGTTGCATGGGTACTTCTATTTGGAGCCGTACCCGTGTTCTATCCGTACCCAACACCGAAACTTCAGTGGATGGTCCTCACTCCTTAGATAATTGCATAAACTTTTTTAAATGTGCACTCAATTATAAAATACATGTTTTAAGTTATAACACTCGGCATATACTTCTTGGACATATATCTTACACTTCACGTGCAATTCCTGAAACCCATTGGACATAAGTTGGGTTCATGTCAGCCTGTACCCTGTTCAGAACTACGATTATATAGGGTTTTTTGGACATCAAGTTAAAAAACAAGTAATTTTCGAATTTATAGACCTACAGTTTAAAAGAAACATATAAATGTCTCAGGAATTTTAATTCATAGCACGTGAAATGAAAAAAAAAGTAATGATCTTATGTAAATTATTATTATATATGCATGTATGTGTAGCCATGTCCTCGTACTGCACCTTTTACAAATTTTCCATGTCCCGCACCCATACCTGTATTCATACCTGTGTAACTTAGGATGAGAATCTTCTAGTACTTAATCATTAAAACTATTAGTTGTCTGTAGCTAACATGTTGCCTGTGCATCCTCCGTAGATTTTCAGGATTTATAATTTCAATTGTATTTTGTTGATGTTTTAGTGTGTGTGTGTGTGTATATATATATTCTGTGAACATTCTTTTTTAATCATAAATAGTAATACTGATAGCAATCTGATTACATGCTGCAGAACAGCATTCACTTGTTCTTCAGGAGAAATTATCAAGAAGCCCTCTTAAGATGGATGCTCCGGAGGTAGTTCTTTCTCAGGCTCATGGGCAAGCAAGGAAGGTTGCTGATTTTCTACATGAAAATGGTGCGTCATTCAATCATTCTCTTTATTCCAGATATTTGAGACCTTTTGAGTTCTATATATTTTCATGGCATTAGGATGTTCCCTATATTAGGAAAGTTACAGACCGGAGTAATTTGGGTTGGTAATTTTATAATGCTCCTACATGCTTGTTTTATTTTGCTGTTTGCTGCTAAATTTTGTTCCAGTAAATACAAATACTCAGTAAATGTTTTCTTTGTTAGCATCTCAAAGGTCATACAGATTGATAAATCTGATACAGAAAATTCTGCTAAGAATTTCTCATTTTTTTGGTTGGTGATACAAAAATAAGACCAGGTTTACTTTTGATTGTCAGATGTGCAAACCATGGCTCTCTGATTTTGCAGTAAAAGCGTCTCTCTGATTTATTTGTAATGCAAAAAAACATTAAACGCGTAAAATGATATTGGATTTTCGTTTTAATTATTGACTTATTTGCATCACTTTGGTTGCTCATGAAATTGATGACAGTGAATTTGCTCATGCCACATGATCTTAAGTATGTTTATTGATGTAACAGGAGTCCTTTTTAAACTTCTGCAGTTCTTGATTTTATAAGCGGTGAAGCTATTGATGATGCGTGGCTTGTGACTTCTTATCTATGTGATGCTGATTTACTACTTGATAATGCTTCACATCCAACAAGGTTCCACATGATGTCCGAGATTTATGAATCAGAAAATCTAGCACAAGTAGTAGCTGCATCAGTTGCAACACGTGGGGTGTTATTCGGAAATTCACACCCTTCACCTTCAAGGCATCAATATTTATGTAACTATATGTTTGTGCAGCAGCATTTGCCTCTCCTAACATAATTCTTGACTGATGTTGCAGGTGGCACACTATTCGTAGTCCGAGGCTTTGGCAAATTGAGCAGTTATCATGGCATAATAAGGTGGACCTTTATTATATGAAGTATTTTTCTATTGACTTAGAATATTTATCTATTTTAAACCAAACTCTTGCATATTACAATTGGTTGCCATTTTAGAGTTCATACAGGACATGATAAAGACAGATTTTTATATCACTTCATCATGCTGAGTTTTCTTTGAATATAATTGCTTCTATTAATGCTTTCAACATATTAGCGCACAATAAGGAATTAACAGTTGAAAAGAACTGTGTGAATCTATTATTCTATCTATAGTATGTCTATCTGTATGCACCTTCTTTCACATTTTAAATATCAAAGCGAGACAGTTTTAGGAGTGAGATGAAGTAGTTGGAAGGAACAGAGATGGTAACTAGGAGAAGAGGTTCTAAATTCCTATTCCGATTTGAAATTCAAGGGGAAAGCTAGAAAGATGCGAGGAAGATGGTTGCATTTTCCTACAAAGAGATAAGGTGATAGATTTGAGGGGGAAAAAAACTTATTGCAACAAATTAATTTTATAATAGACCTCTCGAAGGGAACTAAGTACAATAATTGTTCGATATGATATGACTTCTTCTCCTACTTCTCTGAGATAAGTGAGATACTTCTATGTCTCATCGCACATACAAGGGCATGATGATTGGTAATACAAATTGTATAGCAGATGTCAGATACGCAAGGTTACATGTCAACAGATGTCGAGCAGCTGACTTAGTCCAATTACGACTTGATAGTTTGTGGAAGAAAAGTGAACTAACGTGCTCACTTTTTGGTGTGGATCATCAAAACTTCACTCATTTCTTCCTTTCTCAATGTAGATCCATTTATTTTATCTTTCTTTTTGGATGAAAAGACAACCAGAAAGTGCAGTCTTACCTATTAACTTGGTGACACTTTTAAGATTTGTAGTTTGAGTTTTGCACTTCCTTGAATCTTAACTCACGCTAGATTTGTTCCTTGAGTTGGATCCTGAATTTGTGTTTGATTTGTTGAATTGCAGTGGAATTAATATCACATACACCCCTGTAGTGTTGCTGCTTTGAACTCACTAACCCTATAGTTTCATTTTGGCTGATAGAACCCCCTGGGTGAATTTTATTTAACTCTTTTACCTCAGATGACTAATTTCACCGAGGAACAATATCTGCCAAAATTCATCCAAGGTAAAAGAGTCAAATAAATTTAACCCAGGCCTATCTGCCAAACTACAGGGATAGGTAAGGTCAAAACAGCGATACTAGAGGGGGTCTTCATGCAATTAACTCCTTATTAACCTTTATTTAATGCTGAACTGATGTTTCTTTCTTGTCACCCTCTTATTTTGTTTGAACTCTTCCTTGGTTTCTTCTTATAGCTGTGGAAAGAGTACCGGAAATCATTCTGTAGTTATAAACGTAAGCCGAAAAATCTTATGTCTAGTATGAAGTTTTTCACTCAGGAAGTCAGGGTTTTTCTTAAGTCATAAAATTTGCACTCACAAATGATAATTATTCTGCGATATAAATTAGAAATGCAAGATGCATCTTCTGAGTTGATGGTGTAATGCAGTAATTAACCGTTTATGCCTTTCCAACCTCAAAATTTTCTCATCCTATTGTTTGTAGTCACAAATGGTGATCATTATGCCTTTAATAAAAGTAAAACTGCGTGATGCATCTTCTGAGTTGATGGTATAATGCAGTGATTAACATTTATTACTTTGCAATCTCTAATTTTTCTCTTCATGGTGTTGGATTTGCAGAATCAGATGGCATCTGAGAGATTTATGGACTCAAATCCCTGCAATTTATACCATTCATCTCACGTCACCATGGAATATGGATCCACAATGAAATGGCTGAGATCAAAAAATTTTGAAGTCCCCCACACCTGCCAGAAAGATATCTCACGGAATGACAATGGGGTGTTTGATTTTGACTGGATGGATCAAGAAAAGGATGAAACTTCGGAAGAAATTGAAGAGGAAGAAATTGAAGACTGGTAGGCTTGATTCAGTTTGCAAATTGGTCTGATTAAAGAATATTAAAGCTACGACTGAGGCTTACCTTTTGACATCCTGCATCTAAGGCCTGGCTATATTCTTGGCTTGGTTGTGGTGCTACTCCAAGAAGACACTGCTTCTATATATTGTAAGTAGATTTGTATATCATTAAGGTTAGTTTCTTTGACGAACCTTTCTAAATCCGCGAATGGTGAACTTTTCAAACTTATAACCCAGAGCCTGATGTTTTCCTGAAATCCTGTATATATTGGTCGGAATGAAGAAAATTAGGAGGAAAAGGGGGAATGGGGAAAAAAGGCAGATAGTATGCTTCTTATTTTGATATATTTACGCTGTATAGGCATTGAAATCATTTTCGTTGATTTCTCTTCACAATGAGCAGCACGTTTACAACGTTCATTATAGTAGTAGTAAATGTTCTTCAGATTCTTCAGACTTCTTTCACTTTTTGTCACATGAGAGATTTGAGGTCTTGGATACCATTTAATCCTTTTATCCTGCTGCATATATGCTTTTCTGTTTCAACTCTCCCATTTCTCTCTTATATAATCAAGTTTTCGGAAGAATTTCTTTTATACAAACGATTGAAGATTGTATTTTCCAAGTACAGTACATCAGATAGCTTCTATTAATATTAGCATTGATTTTCCTTCTCTTCATTTTATTCAACTTAATTTTGAGTTGGTTCCACTGCCTGAGAATACCGTTTTCCTTGAATTAAAACTGCTTGGAAATCAAAGTTTGCTTCTTGATATTTGCACACAGTGGATCTTCATGGTTGGTTTACAGAAAGAACTCTACACGTTTTTTTTTCTTTTTGTGATTTTAGTTCTAATTTCTATTCTTGCTTGATACATCAATAGCTTGTTATCTTAGGGGCTATTTGGTTATTTCCTAAAAAACCAAAAAATAGAAATGCAAACAAAGAAAATTCAAAAAGTACAATTTCACACATTTTCATCCCTAAAACTCACCCACAACATCTAATAAAATATTATTTTTATCCAACAATCCATCCATCACATCTAATAAAATATTTTTTTCATCCAACAACTCATCCATCACATCCACCACATCTAATAAAATATTGTTTTCATCCACAATATCACTTAACTCATCTCATCTCATATTTAAAAATTACTCACATTATCCAATAAGATTGTGACAACTCATCTCATCTTATTAACATTTTATTTCTTTGTTTTCCTCCTAAAAAGCTAGGAAAACAATTTCCTTAATGGCCTGTTTGGATGGAGGGTAGAGAGGGGGAAGGGAAGGGAAATTTCATTTTAACCTTGTTTGGGAGTTTCATTTTGGAGGGTAGAGGAGGGGAATGGAGGGGAAATTTGGCCCAAATTCTTACACCCCAAATTGGGGTGTAATGGAGGGGAAGGGAAGGAAGGGGAAAAATTCCCCTTCCTTCCCCTTCCTTCCCTCCTGTTTGGATTCGTAGGGGGTGAAGGGAAGTTAAGGGAAACTGAGTGAAGGGAAGGGAAGTGAAAGGAAGGGAAGGGAAGGGAATTCCCTTCCCCTTGGTTACACCCCAATTTGGGGGGTAACAATTTTTATACTATTAGGGGGTGAACCAAGGTGAATGAAGGTGAATTAACTTCACCTCCTAAGTGTTCCCAAACAAGGTGAATGGAGGTGAATGGTTCCCCTAACTTCCCTTCACCCCCATTCCCCTCAATCCAAACAAGCCCTAAGTAAACTCCCAAACACACCATAAGTGTGTGTCACATCATCCAATAATATAATGACAACTCATCTCATCTCATATATTTTCTTATTTTTAAATCATCCAATAATATAATGACAACTCATCTCATCTCATATATTTTCTTATTTTTAAGAAATAATCAAGCAAAAGAAAACAACCAATTATAAGACTCATCTCATCTCATATATTTTCTTATTTTTAAGAAATAATCAAGCAAAAGAAAACAACCAATTATAAGAAATAGATTTCTTATAATTTATTTCATTATTTTTATCGTCAACCAAACAACATCAAAACAAGTTTTCTTAAAAAATCACTCACATCATCCTATAATAAGGTGACAACTCATCTTCATTTCTTTGATTTCCTTCTTTTTTTAGCAAACCAAACACTCCCAAAACAATTCTTTCTAGGGAGCGTTTGGATACCATAGCGTTTTTACCGTTTCCCTTTTTTTAAAAAAAAAAAACAATGAAAGGCGTTTGGCAACCGGGGCATTTTTTTGACTTGACCCTTTACAAAATCCAAAAATTAAACACTTTTCTCAAAACACCAAAAATGTGTTTTGAGATTCCGTTTTTTTCATCTAAGCTGTCGCCGCTCGCTTTGCCTGCCGCGCCCGGCCCCGCCCGTCCGCCCGCCGTCGCTGCCCCGCCGCCGCGCCCGCCGCCCACCATTGCCGCCGCAGTCGGGTGGCCGCCTCCTGGCCGCTGCCACTACCCGCCTCCCGCGCGCGTCGATCGTCCCGCCCGCCGGCCCGGTTGCACCCGTCGCACCACCGCGCGGCGGGTAGCCACCACCGTCCGCCGGCCGCCGCCGCCCCGCTCGCTCGCACGCCGGCCCCGTCGCGCCTGCACCGCCTCTTATCGGCCGACAGCCGCCGCGCCCGCCGCGCCGGCCGTCGCCGCACTCTCGCCGGTCGCCGCGCCAGCCGCCCACGCCGCCCTCTTGGCCGCGGCCGCTGCCCGCGACGCCACGGCAGTCGGTGCCAACGCCCGCGATCGCTACGGCCGATCGCCGTCAGCAGGTCAGCGCGCGACGCCCACGGCCGGCGGTCGTCGCTCGATTGCACGACCGCCGCCGCAGCTCGCCGCTGGCCGACCGCGCCCGCGACGTAGCCCACCGACCGCCCACCACCCTCCGGCCCGCCACCCGCCCGCCCGTCGGCCGGCCGCCGACCACCCGCCCGTCACCGCTGCTATATAATAGTAACTAACAATGGTGTTTTCAAAACACTTTTGAAAAAGAAACACCTTGGCATGGTGTTTTTGTAAAAAACACTACAAAAAAATCGCATTGATATCCAAACACACCTGATTTAATAGTTTTCCATTTCTTTGATTTTCAATTTTTTTTAGGCAAACAAACAGGCCCTTAGAGTAATACATGAGATCTTGCGGATTCTGCTATGAGGGCTCTCTCTCTTATACTTTGAACTAAAGTTCCAAATACATCAATACATCCCAGACATAATATAATAATCAAAACCGGAAAAATGTCTAATTTTTTTCACTCTTATTCATTCCAAAATTTTAGAATATGAAATGATAATCCAATTATTTATGCTTGACAGCAGAGAACCGTCCTCATTATTTCCACTAAATCTCATATGTAAAATACTAAGCTGGAGGCTACAATCAAATAAATATTTCGAATTCCCTTCTAAAATTATATATCTCCAATATTTTTCAGCAAGTTGGTCGACGAGAACCTGATTTGCTTTCTCTGTGGGGTGGAAACTATTGTGCGCAGCGGAAATTTCGACAGAGTTTCTGGTTCCAATAAGAATTCTCGTCTCACCAAGAAAACAAGAATCTGAAGCGAATATCTCAACAAAGTGAGATATCGGCTCTTCCTCTCATCAGTTCTAGGACTGACTTGTCGAGGGATCATAAAAAACTATTACAATGACCACAAACACAAACAAATTAATTTTACGTGGTTCGGCAAACTGCCTACGTCCACGGGGCAAGGAAGGGGGGATCTACTATTAGAGAAAAATAATACAAATGGGTTTACAACTCTCACAAATTAAAACCCTCAAATAGGCTCATTGCTTTTCTTTTCAAGAAAAGTTCAGCCTTCAAATAATTTTTCTCTCTTCACGAAGCCCTCTGCAGCCGCCGCTAATTTTTCACACGAAACCGCAACCCCTTGATTGACCCTCTGTCCGTGCTCACAAAATCAGTCGCTGCTTCTTTTTCTCCCCTCTGGCTTCACACGCGCTCCCTTGCACTGCGTCCAAATCACCCGCATGCAATTTTTGCCCCCTCACTTCGCTCAAACCTTCACGAAACCCTAGAAGGGTTTTTATAAGGCTCTGATGAAACTTCATGGGCCATCAAGCATGCGGAAACGAAACGCGGAAACGAAACCGCGTTGCTGAACGTGGGTACTTGAATCACCCACGTGGGTGGCCCCCACTCACAATTCTCCACCTTGGTGAAGTTTCTTCCAAAACTGAGCCGACACCAAAGCATCCAAATGTCCCACTTGTTGTGTCCAGTACGCCGTGAAACAATTCACGACAATGGACTCAATCCATAACAAGTCAAGAACCCAAATGAGAGTGCAAACACTCTCCAAATGTCGGTATCAACTCACCAAATCGGTCTCATCCCCATCAAAATTAACAAATCCATCTGGCTGCATCGTAAAGACTGCCTACGTATCCTCTTGCCCAAGGAATTAAGCTTCACGTAGTTCACCCAAATGGCCGCGAACGACCTCAATCCAATAGAAGAGTTCGTAACCCTTCTTCAATATTATCAACTCTGCGACTGATAGCACCTCCAATGGTCTCAAACACCTCCACCTGAGGTGAACCAATGGCCATATCAAAAACATGTCTATCAGCTGCACTCGAATCAAAACCCAACTCATCATCTGTAACCAAAACCAAATGATCTCCAAACTGTGTCACCTCAGCTGGAATCCCAACCAATGCAGAATGACCTGGAGTATGTGGGAAAACCCCCACCCAATGTGAAGTAACATCAATCTCCACCCACTGTGATACATCTAAGGTCTGTCCAAAACTCTCCACCTGCTGAGAGTCAATTAGCTCCCTCATCGAAGTCTCAACCAAAGTGACACTACCATACCTATCTTCCAATGGAGTTTTACCTCCAATCACAGCAGTTGACAACTCTTTAATAGGATGACTCAAATATGTCGAAGCCTCAGTCCAGAAACTCTTCTGCAAATCATTACTCGACCACAAACACCGATCCTCCTCCAGCAAGGCACGGTTCTCCAAATTTACCATCCTATCTGGTTGCCCCAAGATTTCCTCTCCAACAAAGTGTCTCGAAATGCCGTGAGCTCGGCTCCAATACAGAAACAGGTCTATCTTGTATCTCCCATCAAAATTAGAATGAAGTACCTTCATCTTTCTGTCCATCTTACACTTCTTCAAACTGTTAGAGACTACTAGGACTTTATTCATAAGGGATTTGGTTGCAACCCAAACACGCCTAGAACAGCCACCAACTAAGGAAACCAAACTTAACATCCATGTGAACACCTCCGGAACGACCCTTAGCACGGTGAATAGAGGTGCCACACTTCACCTCGGTCTTCTTGCTCACATCAACATGTTCACTGGACTTCAAACTGCAGGTCTTCGCACCCTCTTTCAATCTATGCGAGGAATCAATACTGGAATGGCCAAGCCCCA